CTCGCCTACATCGTCCATATAGGACGACTCGGGAACTCAACTCCTACCCCGGGCAGCTCACCTATCCCCTTATGCCCAGGGGAAAGGTATCAAGCCGTTTGACAGCTGATGCTGGCTGTCAAACCGGCTTTTACGCAAAACAGGCGGGAGGCAGCAAACAGCTGCGACCAGCGAAATCGCCTGCCACCGGAAGTCCGTCAAAGGGAGTTACCTCCTGATAAGAAACATTCAGTGGAATAGGAATGAGGTTCTCCAACTCTATCCACATCGACCTAATCCATGGAAAGAGCTGCTGTGCAAAACACCATGACATTCTCAATTTTTTTTTAAATTGCAGGTAGTCCTCGAGTTGCAATGGAAATTGGGACTGGAATTGCTGATGTGATTGTGAAGTGCAATGTCACAGGACTGCATCATTTAGTGATAGCAATCCAAGCAGTACCAGTTGCTGTCATAACCCCAAGATTTGCGGGTTAAGTGAAAAGTGATGGGAGTCCTAGGTAAGGAGCACAAAGGGGTAAGGTGCCATGGGGGTGTGTGGGTGGGTGAAGCTGGGCCATTTGCTGTAAAAATGCAAGGATATGGCATGAACTCAGAAGGACGAGAGATGTGCATTTGCAAAGCCTGCATAACAAAGATAAAGGAAGAGGGAGTGTGGACAGGTGGGACCCCTTTCAATGTAGAAAACAAGAGCTGACTGTCAGGCATATCATACAAGACATATTGCTAAGATAAACAATAGGGCTAAGACAGAGCCAATAGAAGACTTGCTAAAAGTTTTCTAGGATGCCTGTTAGTTAACTTTTAGGAATGGGATTGAAGTAGAGCCAATAGACCACTTGTTAGATAACTTTTGAAGTGTTTATTAGTTAAGACTTAGAAATAAGGATGGCATGGAGCCAATAGAGGATCCTTTAGATAACTTTCAAAAAGCCTTTTTATTCTGCCCTAGACAGGAAATATGGCTTTATTCCAATCCGGGACAGATAGTTAACTCAGAGGAACAAACAGAAAATATTGCTTTATTCTGGGAATCCTAAACAATGACTTACAGTATTGTAGAGATACGTCCAAAATATGTTTAGCGATATTGGATTGTTCCACAGGTAAATTGATGATGGACTTTCCCCTCTACTTCTGCCTAAGCATCACATGTTGGCATAATCATGAGATCTCCAGCCATGTGGCTGGAAGCCATGAGCTGGATGAACAAAGGCATTCCCATGTGGCTTGTGTCCAGGAAGTCTCCCAATGCCCTTTAGAAACTCCTCCCACTGACCTATTAACAAACCCAGCCTTTAACCCAATAACTGCCAGGTATTCTAACATACTGATACATGCTCTCTAGTTAGGGTTACATAGATCTATACGATCCAGAACACTTTTAGACAATGTGTCTTAATCCCGCCTTGAAAAACTGTATAAAAGCTTGTTGGATCCTTTGTTCTGGGTCCTGGCATTTTGCTGGCCGGGACCCCTTTTGCTGAAGAGCTGCAATAAAAGGAAATCAATCCTGCACCTTGTGTCTGGTAGTCTTCATTGGCTTTGGCACCAGGCTAAACCCGAATTTGGGGACAACAGGTGAGGTTGGGGAAAGCCCTCAGAGGGCTGGCACTGCCTGCATGTGAGTTGTGAGAGGTGGGAGGGAGCGTCTTGGAGTTCTGGTGATGATGCAGAAGGCTGGAGAATGGATGGCACTCCAGGTGCCAATACAGGAAGTCTATGGAAACTTAACAAAGAGAAGAGACTTGCCATCTTTCCTGCAAAGGGAAGTTGCCAAGAAACTACCCAGATTTTTTTCAGGAAGTCAGGAGGTAAGATATAGCTTAATTTGAAGAATTTTACCGAACTTGAAACAAATCATGTCCTTTCTGTCCTACTATATCCTAATTTTGCTGATGGTAGCATACCAGTTTTAATTTTAAAATATTTTTAAGACAACTATGTATCAACTTTGCTGATGGGAAATATTTTGTAAGAGGAGAACTTGTACGTATTATTGAAAGAGAACTTCAACTTCCTTAAAACTAGCAAGTTTTCGTCATTTGAAAAAAAGTGGAAAGAATTAGAGCAGAATTTTATATTCTACTGAAAAGGAAGTCCCAGTGGATTTATTGGCATTTATTATTTTTGGAAGATTACAATTTATTGCCATTTATTATATTTGGCATATTTGTTTTTGCTCTCAGTGAAATTCCTGAGAACAGATTAGTTAACTATTCCTCTTCCTGAGTAGAAAACCCCACTGAACCTGGAAGGCAAAACTTGATGTCAATCAGCAATTGATCTCCATTGTACAGGAAGAGTGACCACATGCATTTTCTGGATGTCAGTGGACTACACTTTTCATCTGTTTTAAACCTTTAGAAGCCCATCCTTTGTTTACAGATGCTGTAAAAATATAATTGAAAAATCTCAACTCATGTTGTAAAAGTGCATCTCATATAAGGAATAACAAGCAGCAACAAGCAGCCATACATTCCAAAGTTTGATAGTAAAAATGAATACTAAAATACTCACATGTAATAATTTCCCCATCTTCCCTCAACCTTGCTGCCAAAGGTGACTGGGACATGGAGTGGGTCAGAGATAATTTATATTGCTGTCCCTCACTTATGATGGGAATCTCTTGATAAATACACATAGACCACATGTTAAGGAGGACAGTGCAGCACTGTGAATTTGAATCCTCCCAAATGCTTTGGAACAAGGCGGCCATAGAGGTGGCCCATCTCTGCAATTGCTTAAAGCAGCTGCGGGAAGTGATGCAGTTGCTTTAAGAAGCTGCAGATCAAAGCTATTTTCACCCTGTCAACCCAGACAAGATGCACACTCTGGCAGGCTAGCTCTATTGTAAGGTTACATTAATGATCTTAACAAGTCTGAAAATATCCATGGTCCCTTCTGAGACACTTGTCATGCCCCATTCATTTGGAGGGCTCAGCTGCCTCTTATCTGATTATTGCCTAGTCCAGGGGTGTCAAACTCAATTTCATTGAGGGCCGCATCAGCATTGCGGTTGCCCTCGGGGGGGGGGGGGGGGGGGTGGCCAGGGTGGGTGCAGCTGGATTTACACATTAACCAAACAGAATTCATTAGAATTAAGTTTCTAATGTCAATATAGCCTCTGAAGCTTTAAATAGCATAGTTTAAAACATCCCTACCTGTTTAGTTTAAAACAAACAAACTTTATAAATGTCTGCTAGGCTTAATGTACTACTTTGGTTTTCTTTTTTCTTTTTAAAGAATAGTGCATGTGGGAGAAATTCAATTGAAACATTAAATTCTTTTGAAACATTAAATTCTTATTTGCATATAAAGCTTTTGTCCCAATGCTATGAGTTATTCTATGAGTTATAGCATTTAAAACCAATACACATTACATTCTAAAAGGCCTGTCTCCCTTCAATTATTTTTTTAAAAAGTGAATAAAATATAAATCTTTTA